TCAATACATTAATGCTTGGGATCTTTAGAAGAAAGCCAAAGAATTCCAAAACCAAAGAATAGGTGTAGTAAATTTTATTTTGATTCAGTTCTCCCTTCTTGATCCTCAAATCATCACTTAAATTTCTAGATTTCTACAAACTAGGGAAAAAAACCCTTGTTGTCTTATCTAGAATCCTCACATGTTTGACTAATAAATAAAATTACATCACTTTCCTGTGTATCACAAGCTCTTTAATAAGAGAAAGACAACTGCTCCCCTTCAAAAGCAATGGAATGGAAATACATATTTTTTAATCGACGTACTGCACACACCCCATTACCAAATAAAGGGAATCAGCAGCCTGAGAAACCAGCTGGGGATTGCTGGGATCTTTCTAGTGACCAACTGAAGTGCAGTTTCAGCATCTGGTCCTTGGATCAACTTCTAGGTCAATCTTAGTATCTCCAGAAAGATTTTTTTTTTCTTTTAAAAACCATTAATTCATATTGGGAAATATTTTTCTTCTGTTGTTAATTTCCTTTCTTTTAAAATATTCTGAGAACAAAGCACCTAAAAGCATCACTTGTTCCCATTGATGTAGTCTTCATTATTTGGTTCTTGCTTCTTTTCCTCCAGAAGCACTAGCTGCATCACTAGCAACATCTGCATGGAGGATTTTATACATGAGGTTAACAACTTTATTACTTCATTGTATTCTTGAGCCTGAGCCCCACTCTCTACAACTTTCTCCAAATGCTTTCCATCACTAAACTAGGTATGTGACAAGCTCCTTTCCTATGCAAGAATAGAAAAATGCAAATATTAAATGCCAAATTTCAATTGGCAGGACTGGCTAATGGAATTCTATAGAAGTTCTGAGAATCAGCCATCTCTGTATGTACATCTTGAGGCAAACAGCAGAAATACTTCTTTTCAAACTGATGAACACCACATGACACCAAATCTCTACTATTAGAAGAAAGGCTTCTAAGCTGCAATGTAAAACTCCCCCTTAACAGCAAAGAGAATTAAAATGCATTTCAGTATTATTTATAAGCAGTTCTTAAACTTGATTAATATTCAGCATAAATATATTGAGGACTATCAAGGGTACTTGGTTAGTCTGACATGTAACTCTGTCATTCATTCTATGTGTAACTACTGGTGGCTTTAAGTAATTAAGGTTTAGCCTATAGCTAATGTCAAAATGAAAATGTACAGTGAAATTAATCATAATTTCCAACATTTATTGAGTACTTCCTGTGTGCCATGCTCTTTATTAAGCCCTCTGCATGCATTATCTCATTTAATCCTTACAACTCTATTAGAAATATAACTTTTGCAGATGAGGAAACTGGACCATTAAAGGTCATGTGATTTTCTCAAGACTCCAGTTAGCTAAGTGGCGGGCCAGAATCTGAACTCAAGCCATCTGAATCCAGAGCCTAAGCTCTTAACTCTAAAAAGCCAGAAAAAAAAGAGACCCGTTTACCTCTAGCCTCTTCTACACACACACACACCTTGAAAATCAGACCACCTCATAAAAATAATAGATCTGAAATCCAGTTCAAACTAGGGGGATTAAAAAAAAAAAAAGATGAAGGGAATTAAAGTAAACAATAGACGTGTTCTTAAGCAAATCTACTTAACACACTCATTAGATCACTGGATTGGTCAATGCTTCATGCCCTCTGAAAGCAAGACTGACTCAAGTTTCTCTCCTACACCTACCCATACCGATCCCAATTACATCAGATCAGAGGATTCCTCGCTAAGTATCTTTTCCCAGGCCTCTTACATGAATCTATAATATCTACTGGAACAAGTTTTAAAAGCACAAGAGCTTTAAAACAAAGCAAAATACCCCACAAGAATAAAAGGGGAACAATTTGGCTTCTAACCCATATATCTAATGAATCCAGTCGGTTCAAAAATATATCTCTAACTCAAGGAAATCGGTGAATGACACTGTTGGAAAGAATTGAACTTGCTATAAAGTATAAGCCCATTTCCTATGGAAAATGCAATAATTTATTTCTTCAGTACAAGCTTTCCAGCAAAGAATGCCATTGAACGGAATGCCTTGCTGTGACTGGCTGCATACTCTACCCAACAGAAGATATACAAGCAAAGAGGAAACATGCTGTCTAGAAAAAATATACAATTTCCTTTTATTTCCTCTTCTCAGTAGAACAACTCTTCTTTGGGGACCAAATCAGGGACTTGTAACAATTCACCGCATAATATTTTCCATTCTCACAGCCAGTAAAAATTAGAAACCAGGAGAGTAAAAGAAAATGGCCCAGCTATTCTCAGAAAGGCAAGGATTTCTGTGATGGGCGCCTCACATGCGCTTCTTACCCAGCAGGAAGATCGAATGCCTGCAATCCAGATCCCCCCCTAAATTAACAAGAACCCGTTAAGAAAAAAACATATAATTGCTCTATAGTTTACTCTGGCTTGGCTGATTAATCAACTGTTTAAGGATGTGTGGTGAAAAAGAAAACTGTAAAGAAAGGTAGATGTAAACCGGGTGACTTCGAAGTACTAGGGTGGGTTGTAATTAATTAGCTGGTCAGATGTGGAGCCATAGGAAGGTTCTGAGATGACAGGACTCTAACCTATGGAGGTGAATTGGTGACCATTATAGGACAGTCCAAAGGCAGAGGAGATGAAAGGCTGAGAGAGTTAAGAGGCCCCATTTGATGGAGGTTAGTTTGCTGGTTAACTGCCACTGTATTTGCTTACAATTTATTTTATTTCATTTTAGCCACATTAATCCCATGACTTCAAATAACTCATCTATTTTCTATTATGCTACCTATTAGAAAGATTATACACGTCTTTCTTATTAATGTTCAATGGTATGGGATGTCCTTTCAGAGTTCTGATGCTCAGAAAACAGCAGATCTCTATTGATATGTATGTCAATATCAAGTTAGTCAACAGTGTGCTCATTAGAGTATAATGAAGGCAGCAGTTTTTGACTTCTGAGACTAAGGCAAAAAAGGCCTTGCAGCTTCCTCCTCAGTTACCAGAACACTCCCAGAGGGAGCTCTGAGTGCATGTTAAGAAGGCTGATTATCCTGGGGAGGCCACGTATGGGTGATCCAGTGCACACACTCCCAGACCCACCCAGATTTCCAGTCAATCTTGATAAAGCACCAGACTTGTAAGTGAAACAGCTCCAGATTCTGGATCCCAAGTGTTAGAGTCATCCACTGATGCTTGAGTCTTCCCAGTGGAGGCCCCAGACATCATGGAGCAGAGAGAAGACTTTCTGCTCTATCTACCCTGCCTGTATCCTTGACCCAAAGAATCCATGTGTATAATAAAATCTTTTTTTATACTATGAAGTTTTAGAGTGGTTAACTAAGCAACAATTGATAACTGGAATCATATGTCCAAAAAGGAAGGTGATAAACCCACTGGTTATGGAACCCACACCTGAAATATGATATTTAGTTCTAGGTGACATCTTTCAAAAGATTAAAGAACAAACATGCTCAGAAAAGAACAACAAGAACGTTCCTTTATGGGGAAAAAATGAGAAAACTGGAGTATGTGTTACATACAAACACAGATACATACAAAGAATATGTGTTTATTTTCCTCAACTGTTTGCAGGGCTCTCATGAGTGAAAGTGAAAACAATTACTCTGTATGTTCCAGGAGGATGACCTAGAGACAGAGGACAGAAGTTACAGGGAGTCAGATGGAATAATTTTCTAATGTTCAGAGCTTTCCTAGAAGAAAGAGGCAGCCTTGAGAGGTAGCAAGTTCCCTAACTTTAAAGGTAATCAAGCACAGGTTAGATGATCACCACTTGATAAGCAGGTTTGGAGAGAACTAAGTTAATGAACAGAAGGTTGAATGAAATATCCTTACTTTAAGGTTACACTTTAACACTGAGATGTTTTTCATCTAAAGATCATCCCATTTCCTTGTGCTAAGAAATCTAATCCCAACACATGTTGAGCAGAGGAAAAATACAAGATGAATAAATTAAATGAAAGGCAATACCAAAGTATAAATAGAAAGTGATGCAGAACTCTAGAGGAGAAAGGAATGGCAAACAGGGACATATAATCCAGCATAACAGAAAAAAAAAAAAAAAACTTTTTAAAATTTGGAGTGTGAAGAATAAACTGGGGAAGAGGAAAAAGGAAAGCCAAAGAACCCATCATATACAACATTGGGTATAAAGGATTCCCTCATCCTTCTTGAGAAACGAGTTCATTCATTTTTTAGGACTTCTCTGTCAGTGGGAAAGACAGACCAGAAGAACATGGGTAACACAGCAACCAAGGGAACAAGGTTCAAGCAATAAAATTAGCAAAGCTCTTCAGTGACGACTGAATCTCTGGCCTCAAAAGATACAGGATCTGTGTGCCTATGGGATTAAGTGCACTTGTATGGATACAGCTATCTCTAATGTTTGCATGTGGAGAATGACTACTAAGGGAAGCAAGAAAAACTCGAAATAAACCCTTGCTTCCTAACAAAGCCATGTGAAAAAGAAAACACAAACCACCTAGAAAATGAGATGTGTCCAAAAAAAAAAAAAAAAAAAAAAAAGCCATGGAGAAAACCAAAAAAAAAAATAGAAAGAAAAAGAAAAACATTAAAAAGTTATCACATACACAGTGTGTATGAATTTTATCACCATTTGTAATCAACTTCCAAGGTTTCATAATACCCTTTAACTTTAGTTACTCAATCTACTGAACAAATCATCTCATTGTTACCCCATTTGAAGGAAGAGTGGAGCCTCTTTTGATGTTGATAAGAGATAGAAAAATGAGTCCACCTTCAGGAAAGAAAAGTGTTCTGCGTAAACACCTGGAGCCTAGTGGTAGGAAGTGATGATCATTTGTCTCTTGCCTTAACCCTTTCAAAGATTCATCAAACCAGAAGTTGGAAATTCATGTAATCGACGAAATAAAACTTTTCTCATTTAATACAACAGAAATTTTTCTTTCCAAAAAAAAGAAGAAAAATTATATCTTATTACTCACCCATTTCCTAGGTCTGCCTCTTGGCCGTTTTTCTCCAGTGGCTTCTGCTTTCTGCAAATGACAAAGGAAGTCATTATAGTTTTCTACCTGACATTGCTTATAAGTACTGCACCAAGGGACACATTTGAAGTAAGAATGTTCTGCTTTGCAGATGAAGTATCGGTTTTTTGGTTTTTTTTTAGCAAACTCCATCTCCTCTAAGGTTAACCTTTTTCCACATTTTTGAGTAGATTCTTCTTCATTGCATGATGTAAAGAGGTATCTATGCAACCCCTCACCCTAAAATACTCCCCCTGTAGTGATCTCTTCTGAAATGCATGAAAATGCTTCTTAAAAAGCTATTTTGCTTTTATTTCTGTCCATATTAAAAACATTATCCCCACATTCTGTAACTACATATGTTAGTATTTTAGAAAATTAATGTTTCTTAAGATGATCAAGATTCTTTCCATGTCACAACTAAAGTTGCAAAAATTAATATTGATACATTGCTTTACAATTTACAAAGCTCTTCTACCTATATTGATAGTCAAAAGCAAGTGTAAACGTATAAAAAAGAATACACAAGCATTCTAATTCAAAATAACAAACATTTGTACACTTCTACATGTTTAATTTCATGTTCCTTGCCTGAAACAATTACCTGTCAATCAGTTCACCTAAAGCAGAGGGAAAAAAAAGCGGCAGAAATCATCAGTTTGTCCCAGTGATGAAAACTATATGTGCCTAGAAATAATGATTAATTAAAAATGTACTTTATTAACAATAATCCCACACTTAACACGAATACATTTCTATCTTGAGAGTTTGTTTCATTGCTTTACTTCACAGAAGATTTTTCTGATATCACAGTTGTTAACATGATTTATAAAACAATTATTTTTCCCTGTTTTTGTCAGCCCTAGTCCAATCTTCAGACACAACAACACACCAATACACACACATATCACATACATCTATAAAAACATGCGTTCATACTTCTTAGGATAAAGAAAACTTAGTACATATTGTTTCATGTATAAGAATCATCCATGGCTATATTAACACACAAATATAGGTAACTTGAACCAGGATACCTTGTTCCACATTTTACTTTTGTTATCTGAGTTAGCAGCCAGTGGGGGTACTTGGTAGTGATACTGACTACACTGCCAAATGAAACTTTCCTCTTTTTCTCTTCAGTCTGCCTGGTAAAAACAGATAGATTTACATGATAGTTAACAAACAGATAGATGGATAGGTAGATAGACAGACAGGTAGATAACAGATAAGCCACAACGTTTCTTACCAAATAGTATCTCCCTGATCTGTCATTACTATCTAACAGGTCCCATGAATTAACCCAGACTCTATATGATTGTAATGTTAACTCACACATATTGAGCATTTAAAATATCCCAGGCACTCGACTGTCAGTCACAGGTGTTATGTTCATCCTTACAGCAGCCTTATAAAGTGGGTATTATTATTTCTCTTATTTTGTAGAGGAACAACTAAGTCTTAGATAGGTTAGATATATAACTGTCTCAAGGTCACAAACAAAGCAGGTAAGTGGCAGACCTGGGATTTGAACCCAGTTTTGTCTAACTCTAAAAACTGTGCTCCTAGCCTCTTAACAATGCTACTACCCCTTAGTATACAAGCATTTGTTACCGTAAAAAAATACTTGAGGAAACTATAATTGTCACTGATTCAGTTAATTTCCCAGAACAAAAGGAAACCTGGTAGCCTTTAGGAATTCTATCTAACCATCAGATTTGGACACTCTGAATCATTGCTTATTACTTTTGAATGGCTCCACAAAGGAATCATATATTGTCAGAGGTTAGTGGCACTGTCTTACCTTCAGTCCCAAGTGCATGAATTCAGTGAAAGCCCAGTGTCAAGTAAATCACACACTCTTCAGAGCATTGCCTCATGGAGAGAGGGAGATGTCCTGAGAAGATCACAGACTCTACCTTGGAACGCTTAGATTCCAATTCCTGCTCTGCCATTTTAGTTTTATGACTTTGGGCAGGGCCTTGAAGACCTCAATTTGGTTTCATCTGTGAAATGGAGATGACGCCTCCTATGAGAGGTCATTCCTCCAAGTACTTAGAAGTTCCTGCCTCCCATGAGGTGCTCCATAAGTGTTCTTTCACTCCTAACTAGATGGAACTCTTAAAGGGAGTTTTTCTTTTTTCTTTTTTTTTTTTTTTCCCCACTCGGTCACCCAGGCTGGAGTGCAGTGCAGTGGCACGATCTCGACTCACTGCAAGCTCCGCCTCCCGGGTTCCCGCCATTCTCCTGCTTCAGCCTCCCGAGTAGCTGGGACTACAGGTGCCTGCCACCACGCCTGGCTAATTTTTTGTATTTTTAGCAGAGATGGGGTTTCACCATGTTAGCCAGGATGGTCTTGATCTCCTGACCTCGTGATCCACCCGCCTCGGCCTCCCAAAAAGGGAGTTTTTCTTCAAGTTAGTTCCCTCTCTCAGAAGGCTTGGTCAATGCAAGTATTCCATCACACCCATCTGTCACCTTTAGAATAAGGCTTTTAAGGATCCCTTTTGCTACTGCATAGTGAGTTATATATGGGTATGGAGTTCTCTAGCACAGAAGCAGCATCTAACTTAATCTTTGGAAGCAACTGTAAGATTGCACACTTAACCCAGTAGTAAATTACATAAACATGGAAAATATAAATCCTTTTTAATGGAAATGGGGGTGTGAAGTGGGGGTGGGAGAAGGAGGCTATTGACCTTAGAAGCTAACAGTGCTACACCATGCTTTCTCTGCATGGTTGTTATGTTTTAGGGGCCATGGTGTGATCCGGGCGTATTTAAAGTCTATTGAAGAGAGAGTTTTTTGTTTTTTGTTTTTTCTAAAAGGATTTCACTGCATTTCAAAGTCAGAGAAAACAAATCTCTCAAAAACAGAAAAAACTCTGCAAATAAGATGACTTTTAAACAAGCATCTAATTTACAAAAAGCCTATTGAGAAATAAACTTTGCACCATTAACCAAAGGGCAAAATATCACGATTATCACTCGGACTTGTTAAAAGCAAATTCGCTCCTTGGTCGTTCAGGCCTGTGTTACATGTAAACTGAAACCCTCTTCTGAGACTACATCTAGAAGAAACACATTAGCTGTGCTGTGTGGCATCGATCTGGGAGGTTTTCATTTTTCTTTAAAACCCACATTATTTAATCATTCTAATCAAACTCCTCAAAGGCTGCAAAACAAGTTAGGGTTTTAGTTTGTAAACCAGCTCAGATCCAGAATTTTTACATATTGGAAAACACCAGCTTTAATATTGTTTTCCTGTGTTTAATGCTCTTCAGGATATTATTTTTCAAAAAAGACAAACAAAACATTCAAGAGGCTTGTTTTGTTTTAACATATGCAATACTGTAGAAGTGTATATTTGGTTTTCCTTTGCCAGAATAGAATTTGGCTTTATACTACAGACCCATGTATAACAGAGACATAACTAATTCTAACTATTTATTGCTCTCACTGAGAGAGAAAAGGGAGATATGGTCGGAATTCTCATTTGTAAGAACTGAAATTTCAGACTATTACCAGTACTATTATGTGAATATTTACAACAATCATTTCTCATTAAAAGTGTCATTTCTCCCTTGTTTGCCCTCATTAATATTTTTATGTTTTAAACTTTAGATTCAAAACTGTACACTTAATTTTATGATATATTTAGAAGCAAGTCCATGAGGATTGGGAGAAATGTTAAATGGGAAATATAACTATTTCCTTCTCTAACAAGTTCTGGTACTGCAGACTCTTCAATGTACTGCAGATTTTAAAAACTAATTAGGAAAGAAATTCATCTAGCAAATACATCTCTTGAGCTTGAAAACAGTGCTTAGCACTAGTGCCTGGTGAGCAGGAGGTGTTCACTATATACTTGTTGAAGCAGTGGAGGGAGGGAGGGAGGCAAAGAGAGAGGAAGGGAGTAAGTGAGGGAGGGAGGGAAGGAAGGAGGAAGAGGTGAGGAAGGGAGGGCAAGAGGAAAGGAAGGAAAAAAGAAAGGAAGGAAAAGTGATTATATTATATGTGTATCTTATTTCCCTCTTCTCATCCGAATTCTAGAGTTCAGTAAAACTTTAGAAATAATTTCATCTAGCCCTCTCATTTAGCAAAGCAGAAAACTTCTGGATGCACTACAATTCCCAAAGACATAGCCTCATGATATATTTGGGAGCTAGAAGTCTTGTGGGTATCAGTACCAGAAGGCACATATTTCCAATCTCTTTATAACCTTTGGAGTGGCCCTTCAAAGGTTTCCCAAAGCGTAATTTCCAACCTGCATTTCAGGTCACTGGAGATAACAGAAATCTACCTTTTAACAAGTGTTTTACAGAACATTCAGGAGCACATGGTAGTGGAAAGAGTATCAGCTTTAGAATTAAAGTGATTTCAAACCCACGTGCTACCATGTACCAGAGTTGAGTATCAGATATGTCCTGGTTTACATCTTTGAATCACAGTTTTCTCATTTGTGGAATGAAGACCACAATGCTTAAATCAGAGGATTAAAGGAGCTAATATACATATAAAGTGCCTGACAAAAGCTATGGTATTTAGCAGTTAGGCAAATGTAATTTCTTCTCCCTCCCCTTACTTTAAAATGCTACCCACAAATATAATACTTACCAATTCTGTAAGTTTCCAAAGTGACTTTCCAAGCATTACGTGACTTAAGTAGGGCAGGGCAACTGTTAACTCCCCTGTTTTACAAATGGGAGATTAAGCATCCTGCGCATGTTCACAGGTAGTAGAACTGAGACCCAATCGGATTTCAAGGCAGTAAAGTGTCTGTTCTTTGGAGAGCTATTCTCATATAAAACAAAACTGCCATGGGAAAATTTAAAAAATAAAAGATAACCTTCTAGGGTGAAAATCAAATTAGTTAAAAGTAATGTATTTCCAGGTTTCCTATAAACACAGGACAAGAGCAGAGGTTGGAAACTAAGAATAATTCAATTCTGACTTCAGGGTCAGATTTAGATGGCTATTAATTTTTTGCTATTACAAGTTATCTTATCATAT